ATTTTTTTCTTTGTCGCCTTTTGTTCCTTCTGTTGTCCCACTTTTTTTTTTTGTTCTCATAGTGCTTGTCATTAAAATATCACATTCTTTGCCCCGAAACCCTATTTATCATCATTTACGTTTATTTATTCTCATCTTCATATATTTATTGTCATCTTTATTGTATTTTGTTCCTTCATTTTCGACTTTCTTTACGGTACCCAATTTTTTCTTTTCGTATCTTTTATTATCGTTATCGATCATTTATTTTTTTTAAAAAAAAAAACCATCCTTCAATATTATGATTACGCAATGAATTTCTTTTTACCAATAAACCAAATTTCATTTTTTCCTACATCAACAATCTTGCTAATCTTTTCGTTTAAACCTGATTTCGTGATCGCTCAAAAGCAAGGTGACACAAATTCAAGAAATCTTTAATAAAATAATTTATCAAATAATTATTAACAAATAACCATTATTATTCAGATGTTGAAGACACTGATCGACAATATGACCACCTGTATCAAGATGATTGCGTTGCTGTTATAGCTATCATTCTTGGTCACGTAAATTTGTGCGCATGCCTTTGTTTGGTATTTATTCAAAGTTCACTAGCATAAATTCACTAGCATAAAATATTGTATATGCTATCATGAAGTACAGTATATTAAATTTCATTTTTATATTTTAGATATATTCGGCATTCTCAAGGTGGCGTGCAAGTTCTTTATCAATATCAACTCGTATTCCATTATATTTCAGTATTCTTGAAGTATGCCAATGTAAGTTTGATTTTCCATTTGCTTTTGTCTTGATTTCTTTATTTATCACTCTTATGTAATATATTTAAATATATATAACTATAAATATATATATATTTATATATATATATATATATATATATATATATATAGATTTCGTATTTATGCCAAACTTTATGTATTCTTTAATAAACAAACAATTAATTCCCGGATTCGGCTGTAAAATTCTTGCTTATCTGCTTTTTTTGCAAATTACTATAAATATGATTTTGATGGCTAGTATAGCTATGACAACCTATTTGGTAAGATACAATTTTTTTGTATTTATTTGCTTGGAATTTTCTAGATCCCTTCCTTTTATTAACTTTTTAACTATAATATCCAGAGAATTGTAAGGGGCAAGAATATTTGCTTAGGAACGTATGATTGGTAAGTATTCATATCCTTATGTATTATTTAACACGTGAAAATCATATGACTCATAATTCATTTATCGAAATCAACAGGAAACTCTTTGGTTTCATCATTCTCTCTTCGATATTAGTGACAATACCTTCTATCCCAGCTCTGGGCCATTCTAGATTTTGGTGTATGACATTATCTAGGCAGGCAAACGAACTATTAATTGATGCATTTGCCTTATTTTGTGTGACTTTTTCTATCACTTGTTTTTGCTATTTTCAAACTTTATCGACTATATTTAATGTTAATCGAGATGGTTTGACCGATTGTAAAGAAAGAATGGATAGATGGAACAGATTAGAAAGACAAGCGACGAGAAAAATTTTGATTTACATCATTAGTTTTATGATTAGATGGTTACTCTTGATTCCCTTCGGTGTTGGAGTCATGTCTGGATATGATTACATTTGGATGCATATTACCGCTATTGTCGGTATGTATTTTCAAATTTCTTGTCTTATTGTGATCTGTAATGACAAATCTGCCTCCGTTCTGTAGTAAAAAAAAAAAAAAAAAAATTTACTATGTATAGAAACAAACAGAGGCAGATCAAATAAAATCATCATTATACAGTTCCCACCATATATAATCGCAATGAGAATCGAAACGGCTGATCCATTTTTGTCAATTTTGAGCCTAAACAAGTTCTGAGATTCATCCCAAAATTGTCAAAAACGGATTATTACAAACCCAAAATTGGATGTCATTATTGATCGGTCTGCTATCAAGATGAGTCCGTAAAGATTTTGGACTAAATGCTATGAGTCTATAGAACTCATTCAAGTCCAAAATCGTCAAAAACAGATCAACCGTTCTCAAGAAATCGGTACTATATGATGCCGTGTTCCCGTGACAAAATAAAAACCCAGCAATCATATAACCGCGTTATTTCGAAAACGATTGGTTTGTTATTGAAGATTTTGAGCTTAAATGAATTCTAAAAATTATTATCACTCATTTGAGCCCAAAATAGTCAGAAGATTAATGGCTATTCTTGAAATATGGATAGATAATCCTTCATTTCCGCAAAAATCAATACCGGCGAACGATCAGTTGCAGTATAATGCTGATATCTCAAAAATGGCCACTTTGTTTTCAATGATTCTGAGCTTAATAAAATGTGTAGAATTCATTCAAGTCAAAAATTGTCAAAAATAAGCCTGTCGTTCTCGAGAAATCGATGTCAAACTAAAATCAAAATGAACGGTTAGTGTGTAACAAAAATTTCGCAAGAATGATAGGTATATTTTCGTTTTTTGAATAGTTTCTACAGAATAATGACATTAATTTAACCCAAAAAAATATTAAAAACGGTACTGTCGTAATACGATGACTAATCGTTCGCTGGCGTTGAATGTTGACGAACGGTCAGAAACGTACAATGCTGATATCCGGCAAAGGGCAGATAATTTTGGTTCAAATGAATTCTATAACTTGATAGTGTTATTTTGAGGCCAAGATCATCAAAAACGGAGCAATCGTTCTCGAGATATCGAAATCGTAACGACTTTGGCCACTATGTCTCGATATCGGAAGACCCATTTTTGATGATTCTGGCTTACAAATCTATAAAGCTTATTTAAGCACAAAAAAAAAAAAAAAATCAAAAAAAGAACTGCGTTTTCGAATTACAGAAAAGTACAGGCCATACAATCGATTCTCATTACATATGGCGAGAACTGTAAAATCAAATAACGTTAATGATTACTATCTTACTTTTCGTTGTTATGTATAGCTTTCAATATAGGAGGAATTAGCAATTCGATTTTATATTTGATGAACGAAGGCATCCCAAGTCACGATAATTTGCGTCCAATTTCGGAACGAATACATACAACAATCACAACAAAAATAGAACGTCTATCTACTTTTAATACCTCGACATTAAGTATTTCTCCAAAGTCTATTACTGTACCAATGGCTGTTTTTATTCCATCTATATTCAATCCAGATAATCCTACTTTCGGTTGTGATTCTATTTATGGAATTAATTTAAATATTGACGACTATAATGAAAAACAGCAACAATCCGATAGAGATAAGAAAAATAGATATCTATCTGATACTGATAGTTCTATTCAAACTGATACATCCGATATCGAGGAAGAAATTTACTTAGCAATAAGACGTTAACTATTTTAAGTGAATTATGAAATATTAATTGACTAGTAATGTTTTATTATCAAGTTCCGTTGGACAATGATACTATTAATTAATATTGAGAAAAATAGAACCAATCTTTATTTTTTTCTGCAAATCTACAAACATAATAACACGTAATTTGTTTGTTGTTCTTTTTGGCAGTTATTTCTTTGTACTATATATTTTTTCTTTATAATTCTTTTGTATTCATTTCTGTTTCGGTTAATAATAGTTTCTTTTTGTTTTGACGGGGGTTTTTTTTTTATGTAATAAAGTTTTGTATAGTACAAGAAAATTATTGCCTTTTGTTTTATGTACTTATAATTTTAGTAGCTTAAATGTTTAGAACATTATTCTACTATATATATATAGTTATGTATTCTAAGATTTTTTTTTTATGCTTGATAATGGTATTTTACCAAATATTAAAGTTTTTGAGAAAACAAGCTTTTCTTTTAGAGAATATTTTGAAATTTATTGTAATAACCAGTAGTTTCTTTTTGTATTGAATCTTTATATATTATGTTCTTAACAAATCAAAAAAGTTCATAATAGTTCATAAATTATAATATGAAAAGGTGAAACCCGCGACAGAGGTAGTTACGTTGTTGACTTAGTTAGGGTTAGTGATAGGTTAGTTACTATTTTA